GGGGGGGGGGGCAGGACTCCCTGGAAGAGACTCTGATGTTGGGAAAGAGTGAAGGCAAGAGGAGAAGGAGACAACAGAGGATGAGATGGATGGGCAATGTCATCAAAGCGACCAACATGATATTTGACCCAACTCCGGGAGGCAGTGGAAGACAGGAGGGCCTGGCATGCTCTGGTCCATGGGGTCATGAAGAGTCGGACACAACTTAATGACTAAACAACAAGAGTACTGTGTCCAGTTCTGGACATCCCACACTTTAAGAAGGATGACAACAAACTGGAGCAAGTTCAGGGGAAGGCGACCAGAATGATCAGGGGGCTGGAAACCAAGCCTTTTAAGGAAAGGCTGAAATAATTGGACATCTTTAGCCTTAAGAAGACTGAGAGGGTGATAGGATACCACTTTTCAAATATTTGAAAGTCTGTCATACAGAGGAGGGGCAGGATCGGTTCTCGATCACCCCAGAGTGCAGGACACACAACAATGGGCTCAAGCTAAAGGAAGCCAGATTTCAGTTGAATATCAGGAAAAACTTCATGTTAGAGCAGTACGACATTGGAACCCATTACCTCGGGAGCTGGTGAGTGCTCCAACGCTGGAGGCATTCAAGAAAAACTTATGATAATCACCTGGCAGATCTCCTTTGGTGGTATTCCTGCCTTGAGCATGAGGTTGGACTTGATGGCTCATTATTCTATGATTCTATGAAGTAAGGCTTAATTCATCTTCTTCAAAATAGCAACATAGAGCATTCTGCTGTAACTCACAGCAGGAGATTTAAAATACTGTAGGGCTGATATTCTTCCTGACAAAGAGTATCAACATTTGTTCTTTTCCATTTTTCAAATAAATGTCATAAAATCTACAAAGGGGGAGAGAAGTATTTTTCTTCAATGTTTTATCCACGTTTTCAGGCAATCCTACACCAGAAACAGGCCAGCTGCTTCCAAATGCTGGACAAAACCCTCAAAGTTGTGCTCAAAACGAGGGGTTTTGGTGCCCCTCAACATGTTCCTTCAGTCGCTCCAATTAATGGCAGGAGATTTCTTTCCTCCCCTTTCATGACATCAAAGAGAACCGCTCTGTTTTCTTGGGAAACTGCAGCCAAGGAAAAGCAGCACCTTCAAAAGCTGTCTCCTCGCCACACAGCCCAAGTCCACCGAGGCCCCCTCCCTGCTCAACTTGCACACACGGAGACCCCTGATTCTGCCCTAAGGGTGGCTGCGAGGGCTGCCCATCAAGAAATAGCAAGGCATCGAGTTAATAGCCAAGGCAGAAAAGAGGGACACACCTCAACCATTCCGTTGAGCAGAAATGCTGCTTGTCCCTCATCAAAAGGATACCTGCCACGCATCGGGCACAACAACCTCCAAACAAGCAGGTGCAAAAAACCTGGCCATTCACTCCTTTTCCCAGTAACCTGGGCACAGCTGGGCATCTAAAGGATATTGGCTGTCAACTGCATCAAGGTGCCTAGAACCACATCCATCTCCACCTCTAGATCGGTCCCCTTTCCATATATTCTTCGCCCTCGCCCCTCCTGGCATGGCCTCCCCTTCCCTGTGGGATCTGCGCACCTACACCTACACCTACACCTACACCTACACCTACACACACACACACACACACACACACACACACACACACACATCTCTCTCTCTCTCTCTCCAGCTTGCTCACAGGGTGTTTCCCTCTGCCTTGTTATGAGGAACAAGATGGACCTCTTTGCAAGACCACCAGGTGACCGCTCAGACCCAGGACTTAAGGGATCTGGGTTCAAAAGAGCCACTTGGCCACAAAGTCCTCTGGCTCACCCGGGCCAGTCACACCCTCTCAGCCAAACCTTTCTTACAAGGCTGTGGAGTAGAAATGTAAAGAAAGAAAGAATGTAGAAACAGAAGCCTAGCATTTATTAACCTGCAAACCATGTACTGTACAATGCTCAGAAGAGGTCCATATCTTGCCCTAGGACTGTGTTCCACCTCAAGGGAAGGGCTGGTTCGGCCAGTTCACCTTGAGACACACACCGAACGAAACGCTCCTCCACCTACGACTGTCGCAAGAGTTGCCTCCTGCCTGGGGGGCTGCCTGGCTCAGGAAGCAGGGGCAGGTTCAGGCCCCAGGGATGGGAAGCCGGGCCAAGAGGAGGGAAAGAGGATGCTGTTGCTGAGCTCCGGTCCTGCTCGTGGGCTCTCCGTGCCATTCAAAGCTTCCTGCCCATTACAAACCCCTGCTTAATTGCGATTGTTTGAATTTAGGCAATTGGCTTTCAGGAAGAGAGTTGGCAGGAAAACATGGGTTTTACTTCTCGGGAAAGCAAAACAAGAAAGGGACTCAGCTGACATGATGCTGGCACCTTCCCTCACCATCCCGAAGACGGGACCATTTTCCTCCCACGCAGATCAAAGGCGCCAGAGATGGGCGAAAGAAGTAAGCAAAAAGGCACGAAATGGTTCACAAGAGAATTGGGTAAGAGAAGGGGACTGGGTGACCCGAGATCTAGAAAGGGAAATCGCAGAGCCCCGCCGTGCGAAGGTTTCTGTCCTGCTGGTGCTTTTCCTAACTCTGGTGTGCCAAGGGAATGGATGGTAACCAAGGAGCCAGGGCAAATGGCCCCATTTCACCTTGAAAGCAAACGAAGCATGAATAGCCTACTTAATATTCCAGGAGCTTCTTGTGCTTGCTATTTTGGGATGTTTTTTTGACACGGGAATTCCCATCAATAATGTTCTCCTTTGCAGCTGATCTCTGCAGTGCGCCCCTGCTTCTTGGAAGGAAAAACACCAAAGAAGAGGGAAGCGAATGAATGGCCCTGTGTCTATCCCATTTCCCTCCCCCTCTTGTTAATTGAAGGAAGTCTCTAGAGTTACTATAACAACCCTGGCCCAGGCCCATCTCGCTGAACAGGACAAATGCTGCCAACAAGCAAAAATTTAAACCGCCTTTGCTTGAAACGTTTGTGGGTACCCTTAAACTCCTCTTTCGTTCACAGCTGTTAAAAACAACGGTCTCCCTCAAGGTCAATCATAAATAAATTTTTAAAATGATAATATTTATTTATTTATTTATTTATTGGACTTATATACCGCCCCATAGCACTACAAGCTAGCTGTTAAAAACAACGGTCCCTCTCAAGGTCAATCATAAATAAATTTTAAAAATGATAATAAAAACAAGAGCAAGTTTTGACAGAGGGCAAACTTGAAGACAAATGCCGGATGCCCCGTTCTGAAAGGGCTGCCCAGCGTCCTCTCCCTTGGGACCTCCTAGGCAGGGACCTGAGCGCTTACATTCAAGCTCCCCTTCTCTAACAGGCGGCCCCTGGACCGTTTCATGGGCATCCACCCTCTCCAGCTGGCTCAGCTGTTTCCCGACACCTGCAGGGTTTTTTTTCCCCCATGCCTTTCCTTTTCTCTCTGCTGCTCGCTGGGGCTGCCAGCGTCCCAGGGTCGCGAACCCTTGGCACGCACAGGTCTCTGCACATGCACTGCCACAGAAGGGAAGGTGGCTAGGGGACAGGCCCATAGAGGACCAGCCCTCCTATCCCAATGGAGTGCAAAAAGCAAGTCACTGGTGGGAAGGGATGTGGCACCATGGCAGCACCCCGGCACTGCGTGCAGAAGAGCCCATGTTGCATCTTTATCCTCCCTAAAGAAAGATGCTTACTGGAAGCCCCAGACTGCAGCCACGGCTGCCCATCAGAGTAGCCGCGATGAGGGCAGAGAGGCCCGGGGTCTGGCTTTCTAGAAAGCAGCTTCCCACTTTCCAACTTCAAAAAGTTTCCTGTGGGACGAACACTTCCAAGAAGCAGGCAGCAGGCACAACCCTGGGGAAGGCAAAGCATCCAACACATCCAACATCTTAACTGCCCAGGTCAACAGAGCAGAATGATTGCCCAGGGGGCTTAAGAGGGAGGACAAAGAGAAGCAGCCCTCGGAAGACAACCCAGGACTCCCTGCTGCGTTTTGCCAGCCATCTCTGTCAGCCTTCTCTCCGCTAGCCCGACACAGTCTCATTACAAGGTCTAATTTAAGTCCTCTAATCTCACACTTGCCCACATCCAGGCAGGCACAGCCTCTACCCACAACGGGGCACCTGATCAGATCAAACCCGTCCAAGTTTTGCAGCACCATCGTCAGAGCAAGAAAAAAAATTGTTGCTTTGCTGGGAACAATGCATTTGGAGCCACCAAAGATCTGAGCCATGGCAACCGAAAGGCCAGCAGATGCTTCGAGCACTTGCAGTTCAGAGAGTTCGCTTTCTTTGCCGTTCTACAAAGAGTTATCCAGCTAGAGATGAAATGCTTGCTCCCTGTAAGGATGCATCATCGCCCTGGCTTTTGGACTTGCAGGCCAAACTGACACCCAGGTGGAAGTAACACAGGGCAGACGGACAGTACGCAGGTACAGATCTATGGCAGAGTTACACACACACACAGCCCCTAATCTAACCTTCGCAAAGTGCACCTGTCCTTCACAGGGGGGTCAGAGAAGGAAAACCCACATACTACCAGGACTATTCCATTTACTACTTCAGGTAGTAAGTTACAACCAGAGGAGGCCCACTTGTATCAATGGAACGTACGGAGGAATTGACTCACTCTACTACAGATTTACTACACTAAGCAACAGAACATCAGCCTATATGAAATTCAGCTGGCCCGAAAAACACAGGCAGAAGAAGACAACAGCGGCTGCCTCTCCTACACACAAATGGAGTATAGTAAGTCAGCCATCCAGGCTCTCTGGCTATCTTCTAGAGCCTCCTGGTGCAGGGGTTAAACTGCAGTACTCCAGCCAAAACTCTGCTCCTGGCCCAGGTTCAATCCCAGGTAGGCAGCTCAAGGTTCACTTGCCTTTCCATCAAGGTTGGAAAACTGAGTACCGAGTAGCCTGTATAATTAAACTGTAATCAGCCCAGTGACAGCTTTAAGTGCTATGGAGCAGTGTGTCTGTATATAAGCAGCATACTTTGCTTTCCTTTGCTAACAGATGCATTTTGCTGGGCTCATTCACAGACAAAAGTTTGTTACACATTTGGGGGCACAGCAGTCCTGCTTGGCACAAAGAACTGGAAAGGAAGTGATGGGGCTGATCGGGAACACAGAAAGCCTTTTGGCCCAGGTACCCTTCAGGGAACTGCCATTAAGCCACCGCACAAGGACAGGGAGAGAGATAAAGAACCTCAGGACCCTTCTGAGATCTCTGAAAACATCCTCCAAGAAAACAGCAAAGTTTAGCAGGCCGAGGTAAGGGACTGGGATTGGCCAAAAACGAAGCAAAATCCACCAGGGAAGGAGGAGGATGCTTAGCAGAGACCATCACGGGACAGAAGCTTTAGTTCAGCGAGTCTAGAGAATCTGCAAACCCTGCACCCACCTTACCTCTGTGACAAAGAGAGTCCGGGGGTCAATGATGTCCAGGAAGTGCCTGAATCGCCCATAAAACGAAGTCTGTGGAGAGAGAGAGAAAAAGGGCAGTCATCAGACATCGGAGCAGGCTTTGCTGGACTGCACTGAGGCTGGCCTCTGTCCACCAACGGCAGCACAGGGGTGGCTGGGGGGGGCAGCCTTCCCTCCCCATCACCAGAAACCATTTTGGGTCAGTTGGGCGGGAACCGGGAGGGATCCGGCCCCGCCTACAGAACGCAGTGGTGGCAGACCACACGTGGCGGCGTTCGAAGGGGCCTCCGTTGGGCAACCCCAGCATCCACGGGCAGGACTCTGCGCTGCAGCTCCATGGCCTTAAGCTGGAATACTCTGGGCCTGGCAGAGAGCAGGAGGGCAGCCACTCCATGCCAACCGGGCTGGTGGCGCATCCCTCTGAACGGCCAACCTCTACAAAAGGAGCCGGGAGAGATATTCTCCCACAACTGGATTTTCACGAGGCCGATACAGGAGAGGACCATCAGCCCTTTTAAGCACTTTGCTGATTAATCGCACATCTTTTAAACGGCAGAGGTCAATGCAACCGACAAAACCAAGGCCTCCGTTTTGAGATACTGAAAGAAGGGTGGCAGAGTTTGCCGTTCAATGAGGCAACATGAACACTCAGCACCTGCAGGCAAGGACACCTCCCATTGTTATTTTTCTATATTAATGCACCAGAACCAGAATGTCCTCAGAGTGTCAACAAAGGTAACCTGAACTCACCCTCCTTGTCGATTAAAACAGGCTCCTATCAATTCACCGATAAAGGTGAGCCGATAACTCATTGATTAAAAGCATTCAGGCTGGAAAAAACCCAAACACCATCAATCAAATATAGAGGACGACCCCCCTCCTTTGGGGTGAGTGACCAGGCTGGGAGGAGGCCAGCAACACAAGGATGGAAAATAGGGAAGGGAACACCATCTCAGACATTCCTATGGCACCTTCATCAGTTGTACATTTACTCTAGCCCGAGTCTGAAGGATCAGCAGTAGCCACCTTTACTCTGTATTTCTCGGTTGATGATTATCGCCTGCTAGCATTCGGTGCTTCGTGTGGCTGCTTAGGATTCCCTCCTGGTCTTTATTCATTTGCTTTAGCACACCTTAGCACTTCAGTCCAGGAACTTCTTAGTATCCTGCAGTAACGCAGAGGAAGAGCTGAATAAAGCTCCCTCCTGAATTCCCTTATGCTTAAGAAACAACGAAAAGGGATCAATTTGATGGCCCCTAACTAATATTATTATTGTGCCTTCTGCTCCAAGTGCCAAACTAGCTCCTGCCATTTCATGATCTGGTCTGTTGTTCGCCTTCCCCAGGATGGGGTTTCTTAGCAAGGCACCCTCACCTTCTGGGCCTTTTTATCCGGGGGCTCGTGGGGGCCGAGACACTGATCAGCTCCCAGAGGGAAGTGGCCTGAGGAGACGCAGTGGCTGTTCCTTCCTGACCGGTGCTGAATAGAGAGGGAATAGCACCTCATGGGGATTTAGAGACTCTACTTCTGTTAATGCAGCCTAAAATAGCATTCACCTTTTCTGAAGCCACATCACACTCTTGGCTCATATTCCGCTTGCGATCAGTTTCAGAAATTTCCTCTCCCAAATCTTCCCTGCTCCCCCATCATCTCAGAATTTACTCAGGCGCTTCTTGAAGGCCCAGAAAGGGGTGACACCAAGTGTCCTGCAGGAAGGCAGGTGGCTAAGCTGCTGTATTCCTCCCCCCTCTCCAGGCAACGGCCCTGTGCCATGGGGTCGGGAGGGGGGGGGAATTTCAACTCCATGAAATTGCATGGCATATTTCAAGCAAGAGGCTCCATGGGCGGCATTCTCTGCCACAACACAGAATCCCTTCAGAAGGTGGGCAACGGTAGCCCCCCAGGTGGCACTGCGCCGCCCCTCCGTGCCATGGGGTCGGGGGGGGGATTTCAACTCCATGAAATTGCATGGCACATTTCAAGCAAGAATCCCTTCAGAAGGTGGGCAACGGTAGCCCCCCAGGTGGCACTGCGCCGCCCCTCCCCTCCCCCCTCCCTACCCTTGATGTGGGCAAAGGCTAATGGGCACGGCCCTCCACCAACGTCTGGAGGGCCTCAGTGGCCCCCAACAGAGAAACGAACACTGGAATGCTGGTGGGCTGCCTTCTAGTTTCAGGATGAAACCAGGCACAGATGCCGTCACGTTGCCAGCGGTGGCTCTGGGACTCTGGAAGCGGCCTGACCTCCAGGCCAGCCCCGGGGCCATCCAGTTCAGCAGGGTCAACACGGAGGACTAGCTGGCCACAGCTGCCCCAGACTTCAGGCGAGGTGCCCGGGGTGGAAGCTGGGAGGCGGCGGAGGCTCTGCTGCTAAGGTCAGGCCCCTTCCGAGCTGCTGTACGAGAGCCGGATGGGGGCCCAGCCGCCTTCTCTGGCTCGCCTGCACAAAGGCAGCTCCAGACTTTGCCCCAGCAGGACAGAAACACGACAAGAGAGGCCATTCTGGGAAATTAAAAATTAAAAGCTAATTGCAGGCCAGGCCCCTGGCTCACCTGCCCAAGGTGGTGCTCGTTCCCTGCCTAAGAGACCTTCTAGAACCTACTAACGGGTTGGTGTTTTTTTAAACAAGCTCCTTTAGTCCAAAGAAGGAGCCACAATTCAAAAGACACCCACGGTTTCCCGCCAACAGTTATTTCCATTTCCCTTCCCTAAATGTTGGTCACACAACTCTTCCGAGTGGCTATAAAGCACGTTTTTGACCGGAAATCTCTTCAGCAGAAAGGGGCCTCCTGATCCTGGGGAGGGACAGACAGGCATTCACCTGCAACTAAATTCTTCATAGACTGAGTGGGATGTAAAGTCATTTTTTAAATAGCAAATCCACAGTTCCAAAAGAGCTCCCGTTCTGTGCTGCGAAGGGGGTCTCTGGGATTCACTTGGGGCTCCTGACCCTTGGGCTGGGGTTCTCCATCGATCCCGCCGGCTGCAGTGAACGGGGTTTGCCAAAACAGAGCCTTTTGCTACTCAAGCACAAACCTCAAGGAGGAAAGAAGACGAGGGCCCACCATCTTGGCCTGGGGAGAGGGCTGAACGCCAGCACAAAGGCTGCACCGCCCACCCGGCTCAGCTCCCAGCCCTGGCTGATGCGCAGCTCTCTTCCAGGCGAAGGTGACGGTGGGAGGAAATGTGCCTTCTTCTTGCACGGGGGACCCGGGCCCGGAGGCTGAGCCAGAGGGAGCAGGAAAAGGGCCCGTGCTCCATTCCTGAGCGGGAGGAAGCGCCCTCTTCCCTTCCCTCGGGAGCAGGAGCAATGCCTTGATGGCCCAGACATGGGACCCCAGGGAGCAGCACATTCGTCAAGAACCCTAGCAACCACCCGGGGTCAAGTGAGGTCCAACGAAAGCACACGCCACCACGGCCAGATCAGAAATCTGCCCAAGCAGCTGGCATAACAGGGTGAATTGTTGCCCTGAGAGTCAGGCCCCCTCCCAGCGCTTCCATCATCCTAAGATTCTTGCCAGAGGACGTCAAGCTGTAGGTGTGAAGATGTTAGGGCTGCTAATTGACCCTCCAAGATTCAAAGTCAAGAGGAAGAACAGCGATGGGTCCCTCCGTAAGGCAGGACCTTCAGCCGACAGAGCCACTGGGCACCCGGGAGCGCAAGCCGAGCATTTAGAGGCACACGTGGCAACTGAACTTTGTACACAGTTTGGTAGAAAAGCCTCTCGTGGAGGGGGAAGCGGCAGAAGACCCGTCTGCCGAGCACAATGCTAAGGAGTGACACAGCCACCTCGGGGCAAGGACGTCTCTTCCTGAAAGTGGCCGAGGCCGCCGGGTGCTACCAACCAAAGCACAGGAACTCATTTCCGTTGCACACCCTCTAGGATGACTCTAATGATTGTATTTTTCCCCTTCAAGGCCCTTAAGAGATGGAGGAATTGGTCGGGGACAGAAAGCAGGCGCCGCCAAGCAAACTGCGCATCCCCACCGGCAGGGCTGCCTGAAACCCTGCCTACCTGCCTGCCTGCTTACCTGCCCTGGAAAAGCTGGCCCTGCACTGAAGTGAGAGGCGCAACCGGCAGGCCACGATCCTTGGCAAGGCCGCGGAGAAAGGCAGGCAGTAGCTCTTGAACACCCTCTGCTCCAAAGCCAACCCCAGTTCCCTCTGCAGCCTTGAAAAAGAAACGGGTGGAGGAGAGGAGGATAGTTCCCAAGTAGCCATGAGGGCATATTCATATACGACTATCCTCACACAGGTGACGTTAAAGAGGGTCCAGTCCATGGAGCTGGACGGTCCACTCACTGATCTGCCGTGGATGGCGCAATTCTACCAGTGGCTCCACAGCATGTGGTCCGCGAGCCACGCTTCAACCTCGCAGCGAAGCTTGTCCTCCTGCCAGGAGTGGGAAGTGGATCATGCGCTGTGGAGCCATGGGTAGAATCACGTCGTCTGCATTCGCAGCAGATCGGGAAGTGGACCGTCTGGCCCCATGGGGCTGGACCCTCGTTAACGTCACTGAATGACCCCATCTCTTTCCCCAAGACCCCTGCTCAGAAAGGACTGCCAGCAGGCCTGCTTCCGCAAAACCAACCCAGAGGGTAAAGGCAGGGAGTCTCAGGGGGCTCCGGGTGCAGAACCTGCTCCTGCTCTTCTCAGGACTTCTCCTCCACAGCAAAGGCAAGACAGCCAAGAGGACTGCAACCCTAAGAAGCCCCTTGCAAGCTGGAAAAGCAAAGGGATTTGGTGGAAGGGAAAAATGAAGCACAAACATGAAGACACACACACACACCCTTTGTACAGGAAAACTCCTCCTCCTCCTTATCATCCTCCTTCCCCTAGCCCCAACCCAAGCCAGTCCAGGCAAGGCAGCCCTGTCCTGTCCTTCCAGCTGCAGAAGCCGGGCAGGTGTCCCAAAGGGCCCAGGCAGCCACGTGGCTTTGGCTCAGGGAAAACCTCTTCTGCACACGGAAGAGCCTCTAGACTACCAAGGGACAAAGAGCAGCGGAAGGAAGGAAGGAGCTCTAGATGAATGAAAGGAAGGAAGGAAGGAAGGAAGGAAGGAGCTGACGGTGGGTGGAAGGAAGGAGCTCATGATGAATGGGAGGGAGGAAGGAAGGAAGGAAGGAAGGAAGGGACAAAGAGCACCGGAAGGAAGGAGCTCTTGATGAATGAAAGGAAGGAGCTGACAGTGGAAGGAAGGAAGGAAGGAAGGAAGGAAGGAAGGAAGGAAGGAAGGAAGGAAGGAGCTGACGGTGGGTGGAAGGAAGGAGCTCGTGATGGATGGGAGGGAGGAAGCATGGTGAATGGAAGGAAGGAGTTAATGATGAATGGAAGGAAGGAAGGAGCTCATGGTGAATGGAAGCAAGCAAGCAAGCAAGCAGGGCAGGCAGGCTGGCCAGATGCCATACCATTAATTGCTGCTCCCTTTGAAGACCACCCATCCCAAACCAAACAATGGCACTGCATCCAGTGGCAGGGATAAAGATGGGAAGGTCTGGAAAAAAAAACTCAGAGAATTGGGGAAAATACATCCCCCCAGCCTCCCCTTTTTCCCCCCTCCAAAGCCATTTGTTTTATCTTGTAAATCTCAAAAAAGTCCGTAATATGCTCTTTTACAATGATAAATAATAGATCAATGGCATGGTACTCAAACTACATATACCACGTTAAGACCTTAATGAAAGACTTCTGAAACTTTATCTATTTAAAATCCTCCTAAAGATGTACCATTTCCGAAAATGTTCATTTTTCCAGGAAAAATAAACTGCATCCCGTGGCAGGGAGTCCCATAGAATGGTAACACCCTTCCCGCGGCAGGACTCGAACTGGTGGCCCACAGCGCGGAAAGCTCCGCCCTCCTCTCTGTCCGCGCCCCCGCCCGCCGCCAATCACAGGCTGCCTTTCGGAGCCTGGAAAGGGCGGGAATCCAAGAGGGAGAGTGGCACTGCGCAGACCCAATCACAGGGCCGCCTCGGGAGCTGGGGGCGGGGCTGGCCTAAACAGCGGCGGCGGCGGGGTTGCTGCCCTCNGCCCCCGCCCCAATCACAGGCTGCCTTTCGGAGCCTGGAAAGGGCGGGAATCCAAGAGGGAGAGTGGCACTGCGCAGACCCAATCACAGGGCCGCCTCGGGAGCTGGGGGCGGGGCTGGCCTGGCCTGCGGCGGCGGCGGGGTTGCTGCCCTCCGGCGCTGGCGCCCCCTCGCGGAGCGACCCCGTCTCTGTGGGCCAGACCCCCGGGAAACGCCAC